TCAGGAGGAGGACTTAGGAGAAATGAGAAGGAGACTGAGGAGAACTGAGGGAGGAGGAGGAGGAGGAGGACTGAATAGGAGGAGGAGAAGGAGGGGGGACTGGGGAGAGGACTGGGGAGGAGGAGGACTGATGAGAAGAATGAGGAGGAGGACCCAGGAGGAGGAGGACTGAGGACCGACGCGAGGAGGAAGAGGAGGAGGATGAAGAGGAGGAAGAGGACCCAGGAGGAGGAGGACTGAGGTGAGACTGAGGAGACTGAGGAGATGGCTGAGGAGGATGACTGAGAGGAAAGAGGAGGAGGAGGAGGAGGAGGACTCAGGGAGGAGGAGGAGGACTGAGGAGGGACTGAGAAGGAGGAGGAGGATGGCCTGATAGGAGAGGAGGAGGGGGACTGGGGGAGGACTGAGGAGGAGGATGGAGGACTGAGGAGAAGGATGAGGAGGAGGACTGAGGGACTGAGGAGGAAAGGAGGAGGATGAAGATGAAGGAGGACCCAGGAGGAGGACCCAGAGGGAGGACTCAGGAGGAGGAGGAGGACTGGGGAGGAGAAGGACTGTTGAGGACTGATGAGGAGGACTGAGGACGAGGAGGAGGAGTAGGAGGAGGACTACTCCTCCTACATATAGGGTACCGAACGGACAAAAAACATGATCCCCCTATAACAGCAAAAATTGAACATTTTATTTAGCACTTTAGGTGTCCATTAATGTCCGCCTATGTCCGCCTATGTCCGCCCATGTCCGTCTATGTCCGCCTATGTCCGCCTATGTCCGTCTATGTCCGCCTATGTCCGCCTATGTCCGCCTATGTCCGTCTTTGTCCGCCTATGTCCTGTCCTTTTTGGATTCTATGAGACAAGCGGACATAGACGGACGTGACACCCCCCCCCCCCCCCCCCCCCCCCCCCCTTGACATTATAATGAATATTTGAATAATCAAAAACTTGTACCTACCGTATTCCAAAAAATAAATCTTATATTAATAATATAGTAATAGTATGCTGGATAAAATCAAAAATACATAGTCATCAGTCCAAACACTTGCATTAGTAATAATAGCACAGAACTTTTAATTAATTAACCTGCTGTTTCACTTTGTCATACATTTAACACAAATAACAAAACTTTACAAAATGAATTCTTTTAAATACACATTCTGAGTCTGACATAAATTAAACAACTAAAAAATCAAATTAATATTTTCACTTCCTAACCCATCCCAGCTATAAACCCAAAAGGAAAATATTTAACCATTAAAATGTAAGAAAACGTTTCATTGTACCAATTGTTTTTGTGAGAACAATTTTAAAATGGTTTGGTCACAGCATGAGCAGTTCTGGATTTACTCAAGATCAAGATCATACCTTATTTAGTTCCCACAAATGGATGAATAGCATCCACCAACTTCAAGCTGAACTTGTATAAGTTTACAGTTTTCACAGTTGTCTCCATCATCATCACCACACCAACCATCAGTCTGGTAACCTTCTCGTGTGTTAAAAGACATCACTTTTCTTCCACAGTAGAATCTCCTTCTTCCTTGCCAGATTTCTCCTTTTCGAACAGAGTATCCTAGTTTGTTGATGAAATATCCTTGTGGCAAGTTTCTGGAGCTGAGATCAAGGCTGAAACATGCTGTGCAATTACATCCGTTAGTTGGTCCACAACTGCTGTCACAGCAGTAACACCCTGTATTAAGTGGGCCTTGGCAATAATATTTTCCTGTTGCTCCAAGTCTTGCTTCTCTACCCATGGAATTTGTTTTTCTACAAATCATATCAACAGGCGATTTGTTCAAATTTTGCTGAGAAATGATCTTGTAGTTTGGACTTGTTAACTCTTTGGAATGATCAGCAATCAGATGATTTAATGATGTTTCCCTGGTTCCACTGAAACTGCATCCGTCCATTATACAACTGGTTGGTCTCTTTGTGCAAACCTCATGATGCGATTTTAAGTTTCCCCTTTGAAACCCGATATTGCAGTAATCACATGGTTTTTCAATATTTCCGACCATTCTTCTTATGATATGACTGACAGATGTCACAAGATCCTTCCTACAAATAGGGCAGGAACTGACACCTTTCACACACAACTCACAAAATAGCTGATGACAACAACATGTCTCCACAGCATCCTCAACTATCTCCAAACATATTCCACAAGTCAGATGGGAATCATCAACTGATGCCATCGATGCCATAGTAAGAGAGCCTTTACAATGTAAAAATTTGGCTGAATGGATGTCAATAAGTGATGAAAGAAAAAATGCCAATTTTCCGCAACACAAATACATAAATAATTGTATTCAGAATAATATGAAAGTATAATGGAATAATCACTATATTGCTGGAAGTTTCCTAGAATTCGACAATAGGCTGAACTAAATCCAGGGAATTTGTCAAACAGACAAAACAAGCCAAGGTGCTTCATGAGGTTGCAATAATCTTGGATATCAGATAGTACGATATTCAAGGTTACATGTTTGAGCATGATCAATAGCATCGTAAAAGGATCACTATTCACTACCAACACTTCATCTTTAAACACTGACCAAACACGCCCTTATTGTCAGTGCCATCTTAAAGCAAATTATTATCTACCAGCCATAACAAAACAATGAAAATATTTTGGATAGAGCCAGGTTGTTCAGATTCAGCCAATAAAGCCTTTCACCCAAAAAGTAATATTTTAAGTAAATTAAAAATCAGTGGCGTAACGTTGCCTGTTGGCGCCCCCCCCCCCCCCCCCCCCCCCCCCCCGCCGAAAATGCGCCCCCCTGTTGGCGCCTTTTCCCCTTTTAGCGCCTCTCCCTAAAATCGAACAAATTAGGAGATTTTAGAGGATACGCCGGTAAAATCTCTAAAAAGTGTGTTTCTAGAGCAAAACGCACAGTTTTGCTAGTACCTCAGTTAAAGTTTTTCAAAATTGTCCCACATTCAAACGACGATTTTGCACCCCCCCCCCCCCCCCCCCCTGAGTTGTCAAGAATAGCTTAACACAAGCGCAATGCCCTTTGTTTCTATGCAAAAATAAGAGCTCAAGAAGAAAGAAATTTAATTTGCAGGACAATAAAAATGCTACCCATGGTCGTAGAAGAAATCTATCTATATAGACCAAAATGTTGTCTTACATAGACAGTCTTTACTTAGGAGGATACACTGCCAGTTGTTTATGTATTGTGTTGTGTGCTAAGGTGCATCGTTTCATTTTTGGATATTTTGGTACGTCCTAAGCAAAGGGAATTTATATTTATCTAATTTTATGTAATTGTAATACTTTAATATTATAGTAAACATTAACCAGTGTACCAAAAGCTGGTCCCCAATCAATCAATCAGATGGAAGGCACATTTCATCTTGAAAAGCTGACAGTGACAATCTTAAAAAAACTTCTCGAGTTGTCAAGAATAGCTTAACATAAGCGCACTGCCCTTTGTTTCTATTTTTTTATTTGAAAATTCAATTAATTATTATATATAAATCAAGCGTTACATTTCAGCCATGCAAAATTACAATGACATATTTTGATAAACTAATTGATAAATGGTACTGCAATATAAGTTGCTTAATGTTTGACAACTAACTGAAAGAGAAAAATAAACTTGATTACATAATAATTAATTCGGCTGAACCAACACATAGCAAGAGCCACATTAACGTTGGGGCCGTCTACCAAATTTGAATGACATACAATAACAAGAAATCAAACATATCATAAATAATTATATATGGATTTTGTTCATTACAATTCCGTCACAACTGCTAGAAGAAAAAAGAAGGACAAGCGGATAGGAAATTGGACGGACAGAATTGTAACCAACAAAAACACATTTCTGAGACTCATAAGACTGATGAGCTAGTCAAAAATAAGAGCTCAAGAAGAAAGAAATTGGATTTACAGGAAAATAAAAATGCAATGCTACCCATGCACCATGGTCGTAGAAGAAATTTATCTATATAGACCACATTGTTGTCTTACATAGACAGTCTTTACTTAGATGGAAGGCACATTGATTCACGATGTCAATCTTTCGCATCTCGCCGATCTGCATACGGTTGCGAGAAGAATTATTTGATGCGCGGCGCGACCCAGTAGTGCATCGCGCTACAAGAAGGCACATTTCATCACAAAAGACAAAATATACCGAAGGCAAAACTAGTTATCTTGGAACCAACGTTATGGAGTACGTAGCACATGGTCAGTTATAATTGAGGACAGTGAAATGTCACTCGGTTGCTGAAACAGCGTCTTAATGTTCACACAGTACTGACAGAATTTATATGACTATTCAGTCATGTACAATATTGAAGTATTACAGGGTACACCACTAAATTTCAGCGACGCGACTCGTAAGGAAATTAATTGTATCACGGATCGTGACCCCCATGGTCGTTTCACTATGGTGTAGAGTTTCTACGATACAGGGGGAGCCGCGCACTCGTGCGCGGCGGGTCATACAACGTATGACTAGAAGGTCGACAGTGGGGGTCACCACGTGGGGGTCACCACGTGATACAACGTATTGGTATGACAAGAAATTAATTGAATGATCGCTTCAGATTTGAGATAAGTGTAAGTCTGCACAGTGGGAAAATAGTTGAAAGTAGCAACTAGCGAGTAGCGCTACGCTGAGGGACATGACAGAACTTAACGGGTGATATAGATACTTGTAAAATATTTGTCGTCCAACTCAGCGCGCGTCCTGTTAGGTTAGAAACCGACAAAAAAGAACTTACTGTAATTTTGTTTTTGTTTCATTTTTATAATAAATAATTTAAACTGATTCAATATAAATTTGTAAAATTACAAAATAAAAATTAGGTACAATTTTTACAGACAAGAAAAAAATCAAAATATTGAAAAAAGTGTGTGACGCCGCGCACTATCATAGTGCGCTGCTTTGTCTTTACATCGCATGAAATAGTGACAGCGAGATTTATCGCGTTGGATAAACAGGCGTTTACAATAGATGCTTGGAAATGTTCTGATATTTGAACGCCTGCTATCAATGCAGCGATGTGAGGTCATGTGGTTTAGTTCCTGACCAGATTAGTATAAAAGGCAGTTCGCAAACGACTGAATCGCCTTCGCTTCTCTAGATCAAGCGGAATGGCCAACACATCCATCTCAACCGTGGTATTTGCTTTGACCGTTATGAATTGTGTATAACGTCATACACTTAGTTTAACTTCTATTCTCACATTTGTGCTAAATTTGCTTACTTCTCACACCTATGTTTGTTGAATTTAACGACATTTTCCTCAGCAATTTGTCTACAAGAGGGTTATCGATGAGACGATAAAAAACTCCCGTGAAACTTTTCTAAATGAGGGGATCGAAGAAAGTGTCCTACAGGAGCTCAGAACGGTAAATATTAAAATCGAGCTTATTTATTAGTATTATAATTCACCTTAGATTTGTTTGGAGGGGCGAATCATACACAGTTTAGGCTCTTGAAATCTTCGATATAAAAATCATCTTGAGAGAACCTCCTGAATAGAATCAAGTTAGGCTCATATTTAGGTGAAACAAAACAGTCTTAAAGGCAAGCTATAATCCACCTTTTAAGTTTTAACTCGCTGCAGAACGCCAAACTTTATTTCGCATAGAATGTGTCCATTACATGACGTGTGATTACCAATCTCAATTCACAAATTATTGTTACTCTCATTTCTTATTTTACCGATTAAGTTGGGGAGTGGCGATCGATTAGTTCCACTTTCATTACTTTCCTAACAGTTTGGTAAGTGGTCAAGCTAATTTACATCGACCTCGCCTTGTCTAATTGTTCTCAATTCTCGCACACATCTAGAACCACCTATTGTAATGCTACGAACCTCAAAGGTTCCTTCGGTGTGTGTAGATCGCGTGAAATGCGTCTCAAATTACGATAATATGAGCATACTGACTCCTCCTGATCTAATTATAATAATTTTCTATGGCCGGGCGTCTGAAATATTATATTTCTCACAAACTCAACCTAATATTTACATCAATTTGCTCTATAATCAGCTGCCAAAAAACTCCTTTTTATTTGTCATTATTTCAGTTGTGGGAGAGCAAAGTTTCCGCTACCAGAGCTGTAGAACCGGCAATCAACCCTCCAGGTTTCTAACAGAATTGAGATTATTTACGCTTAGTTACCCTTAGTTACATCCACAGACCGTTTTACATACCATTTGCAGGTATTAACTATTCTGATAACCATCCCTTTTTCAGATTACATACCGCGGGGTCAGATCTACAAATACAACTACAGAAACCAACCCCAACAGAATAACAACCAAGGTGGGATTCACTGTTCATTATTGGTTATGTTTGTCTTATTGCCTCAGGCGAGAGTGTTGATAACTGAAATATCAAAGACTCCACAAATTTGTATTTACTTTAAGGAGCACCATTCATTAGAAAATCCCTGAAAATTACGAGAAATGTACAATGAGAGTGGCATGAAAATTTCTACCAAAGCAAAAGTTGTGGTAAAAATGTGGTTGATTTTTTGTAGTTTTTGTGGTAACTAGGAGGATGTGTGGTGAATCTTACATGGGATGGGCAGTTTGTTGGAAACGTAGAAAGAGCTGTGCACCTTCTATGATTCTATGAAGTCAAAAGAAAACAAACTATCCAACCAAAACATAAAAACATTGCATAGTTCGTGCGAATTTCAAATTTTTCGAGCAAGTCATGGCTAAAAATTGTATGTATTTACTTAAAGCTACAGTTTGAGGAAAAAGTAATTTTTGACCAATTGTTAATATTCACCTATTGGTAATATGCGCTATTAATGCAAGCAGAATGATATGTAAACATGGGTTATTTGTTTACTTCTTAATGTACAGCTCTGATGTTTCTCACTCCAGCTGTAGTCTGGTAGTGTTGAGTCTCATGAATATTTTTCTCTCTTTTTCCATGTTTTTGCCTCACAGGAGATATTGTGGTCTTTTCTATTGAATATAACTGTAGTACATTGATGTAAAGTTGGGGGGGGGGGGGGGGGGGGGGGGGCCAACCATATTAAAGTATATTAAAGTTATCCCCGGGTCAAAATCGGAAAAAATCCTACATTTTAATATACTTTAATATACCTACAATTAGAAGATTTATATTCTTCGTTAAGATTTACATGATGAACTATATTTTTCACTCAGATTCGCAAGATAAGCCTGTTTTAGGACTAGTACATGAATTTCCATCCAGATTGGTCAAAAATTGGCTAAGCTATGAGCTTTAAAAAATATGCCCATATTTGGGCATACGCTTTTGCCCAAATTCGCTTTTGCCCAAATTCGATAAAATTTCAATATTTTTTAATGAGACTAACTCTATGTGAAAGACATAACTCAGTGTTTGTTGAATATAGTGGATACTAAGTAAAAAGGCCTCCATGAACAAAATTGGGAAAATTGCACATAATATCTCGGTTCGGAATACTAGCCAAAATGACTTCATTAAAATTGAAATAACTCCATCAGTTTTCAATATTTTTTCAAGAACTTTTTGGAATAGATTAAGAATTGCATTTCAAGCTTATTTTGGGCAACAATTTTTGAAGTAGGCCTCCTAGGAGATAGGGATATATTAAAGTATATTAAAGTATATTAAAGTATATTAAAGTATATCCCCGGGTCAAAATCGGGAAAAATCCTACATTTTAATATACTTTAATATGGTTGCCCCCCCCCCCCCAAAGTTTATTTGAATTTTGAAATTTAAAAAAATGTACAGAATTGACATGTGAACTCTACCCTATATCTAGCGGCTAGCGACAGATGGATCACATCACTAATTATACGTCACTAATTGGTGACATGATCTGACCCCTGATAATCGGGGGGCCCCTATGTCAGCCTCCCGGTTATTTACTTGACTCATGCACATGAAATTGAAAGCATAAATGAGGCCATATTCATTGGTACTGGTTGTCAATGATGTATATTCTTGAAAAAAATGCAATCATAGTTTTTCTTTAAGTCGTTATGAAAACATTCACTTATTATCAATATCACCAGGTAAATTGACTGTTGAAGCTAACAACTCCTCATTTCAGCGACCCCAGCTGCAGCATCAGGAGTAAATGTCCCATTCCCTGGCCACATCTCTGCCTTTATTCCCCAAACCCTGCAAGGACAGAACATTTCCCGAGCCCAGCCCCCGGCTGGTGGTGGTGGGGCGCGTCCTATTATTCAACATGCAGCCCCCAACATGCGACCTAATATTCACAATGTTGTAGGCACTGCGCGGCCCAACATCCATAGTGTTGGTCCAAATATGCGACCCAACATTCAAAGTGGTGTGACAAACGTGCGGCCTGGCATGCACATTGCTAGTGTGCGGCCTGGTATGCATAACACAGGGCAGCACAGTGTGCGACCAAACATACACAACGCTGCCCCGTCTGTGCGGCCTAGCATGCCATCCAGTTCCAGCTCCCAATACCCAGCAAATATACCCTTCCCTTCTCTCTCCGGGGTTACCACCGTTACTAAGAAGGAGTTTAACAACGCCAGCGATTCTATACAAGTAGACGGTAGCTGTGACGTTATAACAGTAGATGATGACGTCACAGACCAGTCTTATGACGTCATGGAACAGATATGCGAGGTTATAAACCGAACACGTGACGAATCAGATCATCAGAAGCACAGTAAGACGACGATATGTGATAATTTCCAGGCAGTCCAGAACAGCAATCCTAAAAGAAAACACGTGAGTCGCAAGCATTTGAAATCTATATTTTTAAATTCATGATTGATTATATATCCTTGGTTGTTCCTGATTTCGAACTTCGAAGTATTCATGCTACTTTTCGGGAATCTTGATTTATACCGGAGACAAAAATGGTCACAATCCCCCCATAATAATCACCCAATATATTCTATTAACTCTGAGCACCCTTTCAGAAGAAACGATCAAAGAAAACGGAGATAATTTCCAACGCCGCTCTCCCCGCCATGGCTACTACATAAAAACTGCACTGTTTGTTAAAGTATACACATGGCAGACCCACCAAATTCCCCGGATACTTCTGATACAAATACCCATCGATTACAGCTCAATTCGTGGAATTTCTGATAATGATGATTTTTCTCATTTCGTTCGTTATTCGCATTAATAATTTGCGCACTTCTAGTGGCTGGACATTGTTTAGTAGCACAGGCCCTCTACCATACCAGATTGATTCTAAGTCAAGCCCATGGATAATTGGCGGCTACAAGGGCATGTTTCCAAAATCGGAGACAAATGTTTCGCACGAGCTCAACTACTCTGACAACCAAATGGAAACATTGCCCCAGGCCCTTTCTGGACATCTAGACCCCACCAAAAATTCTTACGGGACACCTTGTGGTATCAAAACCAACCGATAACCAATCAGGTTTCAGCTCATTTTAGGCAATCTAGAGATAATGTTCCATGTTTTTGTTCATTTCGTTCATTCTGTGGAATCAATAAATATTTCATATGCAGGAACTTAAAAGTTAGACGTCAAGCCACTGTATTCATAACCAGGGTAAATCCAACTCTGTGTTACGAGGACATATACAGGCCAAAAACATGTTTCTCAAATCGGACACAAATGTTTCCACGAACTCGGATTCAATCTCTGCATTGCTAGTTTTGTAGCTCTGATCATGTAGAAATCACAATCGATTTGCGCGCCTTAAAAAACGCGCGCGCGGTATTCGAAATTATTTGTTCTCTCGAGTCGATTCAATTTATGTTGTCCGATCTGATATTTACAACAAACTTGAAACTGATCACTGATAGTGGCTCAATTAGGAAGAAGACGACCCACTCAACTCCGGTGATGATGATAGTGACGACGGTCATAACACTGAATTTGAAGCCACTGATAACGTCGTCGTATGTCTGTTCGATAAGGTGAAATGATAATCTTATCAATTCGAGGAAAGCTTGTTTTTTAAAACTAAAATTTGTCCAAAATTATTTATTCCATGATTAGTGAACTTGGATAAGCCAACTAAATTTGGTAATCATGCTGAATTCACGAATCTTGTACTTTTTGACAGCTCTAATAATTTGAATATTTGCAGGTAACACGAAGTAAAAATAAGTGGAAGCTGAATCTGAAGGAAGGGGTTATGAATATCGGGGGTAAAGATCATGTGTTCCATAAAGCAATTGGTGACGGGGAATGGTGAACAGAGAAGCCACGTTCTTTCTAGCGATTCACTGACCCTCTATTGAACTTTGTCGTTTCTAGTGAAAGCTTTTATCTTTCTTGAACGGTGGACTCATTTTGATTTAATAACGACACGTTTTTACCCGAATTTGAAATAGTGAATGGATGAAAAAAGATGAATTGCTAATTTTTGCTGCCGAGCGGGTGAATACATCTGGGTTAGGGGTCGTTCGGGGGTCGTTCGCATATTACGTTATCACCGAGACTAGATTAATTTTAACAAGAAACTATGAGTCAAATTTATTACGGCGGAGATTAAAAATTGGTCAATGAAATCAATCAATCAAGTGTTACATCATATGTGAGCAACAACAAGTGTTACGTCATATGTGAGCAACAACAAGTGTTACGTCATATGTGAGCAACAACAAGTGTTACGTCATATGTGAGCAACAACGAGTGTTACGTCATATGTGAGCAACAACAAGTGTTACGTCATATGTGAGCAACAACGAGTGTTACGTCATATGTGAGCAACAACGAGTGTTACGTCATATGTGAGCAACAACAAGTGTTACGTCATATGTGAGCAGCAAGAAGTGTTACGTCATATGTGAGCAACCCCTTAAAATGGACAGTAGAAATTTATTTTATTTATTCAATCACACGTGGGTGCAAGCTTCACGACTATTTTTATATGCTGATATAACGACAAACTGTTCATAAATAATAAATATTTGAGACACTCAATTGTTGGTAGGATGGTGCCAGTTAAAATACTAAGCTTCTCAGGGATCAAAGTCACTTAACTGGTGGAACAATTTAAATTTAATTTGTTTAAGTTAGAAGTACGATAAATAGAGGCTTAGCTGTCTTGAACAATGACCATATTGGATACCTTATCGGAATTTATTTGAACGGACATAAAGCTAGAGGCCCTAGCGCATCGTTCATTTTAATGATCGGTTCAAAATAAAAGCCCGTTTAATGCCTTTTGAGGCATTCAATTTATATTGACGTGGTGCATAATAACGTCCGATAGGCTATGTAAATTCCTGTACACTGATTACACACTTACAGCGGCGTAACGTTTCACGTCTTTGCCATCTGTGTCTATAGTGACCTCCCCCTAAGAAAGTAGGAACGTAAAATTGGTCGAATTTAAGGTGATGTGAGACTGAGAGGATTCACCGATAAAAATAAGATATCTAAAATAATGTGCTTCTAGATAATATAATTAGTACTTTAAGTTGAGTTAAGTTTTTCAAACTTGTCTCACATTTGAACGAAGAAGAGTGAGTTTAAACAGTTTTGATCTTTACGACGTAAATTATTAATCTCAATTATGAGAATCATTGAGTGTATTCAAATTTTGCTTTCCAGTTTTCTGGAGACGCCAATTTTAATAACGATAAATCATAACCGCTGTTTTCGCTTCCAAATGTTTGATTTACGGTCAACAACGTCAATCGTGCCAGGTTAGTTATTCGCACAAACCTGACGGATGCTGAAAGTGAAAATTGCAGGGATTATCAAATGTTGAGGTCTTGCTTGCAGTTGCCTCATAACTATTATGTACGCCAGTAAAATTGTAATTTCTGGGCTCCTAGAACAGACAACATTTGAGGGTATGAAAATTGGTTACTCCTGGATACCCAAGAGGTTGTTATGTAGTTGTATGTATGTAGTTTGTAGGTGTGGCAATAGTAATAGTGTAATATCTTGCCACACGCATGTCGGCCCTTTAATCCCGCACGAAAAGGGGAATACAACATGTGTCAAGCAATACCACCTGTACTGCGAAACATCGGGTGTCAGGTTTGCAGCCATCACACATCACGCAGTCATCACACATCACGCAGTCATCACACATCACACATCACACATCACGCAGTCATCACACAGCACACATCACACATCACGTAGGTTGATTAACTTAAAGTACGGCATGCATGTTCTGTTAACTTTGACTTTTTAAAACTTTAGTTTGGATTAGAATATCATTCTATTTCTACATTCCACGAATAGAAACACTTAATAAGTAAGTAAGTAATAACCGTACTATTTGTTAGAGCTTTCGCTGAACCAGTACTACTGTAGTAGGCGTTACAGTACCGTCAGTACTGATATATCATATTACCAAGCACCATGAACTTAACTTCCATGTTTCATATCTGATTGTGAGTGATAAAAGTGTTTCCTGTTTTGTACACATTCTTTTGTTCGAGTTGGAAGCTGTGTACATGACGCTGTCCAACTTCTTTTTGACTGTAACCGTATAGTTTAAATTTCAATTCAGCTTGTAATACTGCCTTTAAAATAAAATACAATCATCATGCATCATCTTGCGACTTATAATCCACAGTGGTAAACATGATTTAATAGTTTTGTTGTCTCGTATGAGAATATAGAATATAAATACGTTTGCACAATGCGCTCATAGACTATTAATTGTTTTTATCGTACAGTAAATAACTACAGTTGACGTTGTTTTAGAATACAATATGCCCACTTAGAATTTCGATAATATTTGTAATTGGTAGTACTAATATATTTTCAATATTTGAGTGGGAAGTAATTTTGCACACTCATCAGGTAGAGCTGAAATCCAATCAAAGATCAAAAAGATTGCAAACCTATATGTTAATTACAGCTGCAATGAATCTTTAATACTGCAGACAAACACACTGAATTTAATCCCGACATGAGGCCTAACTCAAGAGTGTTATACGATCTCGAAAGACAAGGCTTCCATTTCCACCGGTCCACAGCCAGTTTAGTTTCTGAAACTGAAACAAGCACACGAATATACACTATAAACGATCGCATAAGTTCTATTCAACCGGACAACATTCCGATCCCACTTGGCTTGCCCATAGTTCACGGTCATGATGATGAAACTGGAAGTGGGCTTGACAAGTCGAGAGGGGAAAACGTAAGTTCAAGACCGAGAGAGTATTTTGGCGGTTACAACTACAAGCGTGAGTTTGAAGCTAGATCAGTTGGAAATGATAAACAAGAATTAGAAACTGAAACAACGGAAGGATTTTATTCTGAAAAGAAACAAGAAGGCAATAGATACAGAGCCAGGGGCAGGGGGCTAAATGTAAGCCAGAAACAGCAGGGTGATGAAAAAATTCAGATGAGGAGTTTTTCGGGAAAAGATAATAACAATCTCATTATCCGTTCGGCCCCCTTGGAAGACTACGATATGAGGACACACACACCCCCTTATCAACCGCCCAAAAAAGGGCAACTTCCCCACCTATCGAAGAGTCGCATTCCTCCAACACTTGAAGATCCGGCAGCTTACTTAACAAATTCGGCGATCCAGCCCCATCCCACCCTTCCACCTCCAACTTGTATCACTATCAGTCCACCGGCACCAAGTACGAATTCAGATGAGAAGCAAACACAACTTGGAAAACTAAATAAAAAAACCTGCACAGAAGTTGAACAAGTCAAGATTCTCTCATCTCACGAAAGATCCCAGAAGCTACAAGAGTTATTTATAATTATCCAAAACGGAGCTATTGACGAAATGAGGGCTTTTCTTAAGACCTATTGCTGTCCAGTTGAAATAATCCCAATGTTTGGATGTGCAAAAAGTTACTACTCAGAGAAGTTCAATTTGGTAAACACTCGTGACCATTTCGGGAATTTCCCACTCCTTCTATCATGCAAAATGGGGTCCTGTAGAAACGAGATGACAATGATGCTTCTGAAGTACGGAGCTAATCCAAACCAAATTGATGAGTTCAATGATTGTCCTTTGGTTTATGTAGCTCAATCTTTGAGTTTGAATCCCAGTGATCAAAATATGGCCATCCTCCGTGAGCTGCTAATTCATGGTGCAGATATAAAACAGGCAATGGACACGTTATGTGATACTTTAGAAACCCCAAATAAAGAATCCCGCACTGCTATGATGTCTCTAACTGCACTCTTGGAACCTAAATTTCTGATGCTAACCAGGGATCCCATGAAAACCGCCCATCAGGTCAGTTCCAAGCTCCTTCAAGTATCTCAGGTCAAAGAAGAATACGCCATCGATTGTAACATGCTGGCGAGTACTGCTAGAGATTTTACCTATTCTTACTTGGATGCCTGCCGTACAATATGGGAAGCTAGGCGTTTGTTATGCGGTTCAAAGTACATTGAGAATGCTCTTGAGGAAAGTGAGAAACGGTTTTTGTCACATCCATTTTTGTCAGAAATATCTGGACGAGTTCTCAACGGCAGCCGGATTACCCAGAAGTCTTGGAAAGAAAGTAAAACTGATCTTCAAAGCTTTCTCTGCCGCTTTTTTGTGTCCAGTAATGTTTTTACTGCTTATCAAAGATTCTCTGATGTCCGGGAGTTGGCGGTACAAATATAGCCCACTAGATTACTTTACTCGGGACTTGCTAACCCCGTTTTACTCTTTCTTGTGCGATGTCGCCAATTATGCAATTCTCCTTGGCTTCTTAGTGTATGTGTCTATTTCGGTCCCAGTTGCTTTTGAGCATTCCGAAAGTCACAGCCAAAGGAGTGAATATCAAGTTTTGGAGAAGAATACAAATATTAATGTAACGGAAATAATTCTTTGGTTGTGCCTTCTTTCAAGAGTAAATAGTGAACTGTATCAATGGTATGTAAAAGGCATTAAAAGGTACTTCTTCAACTTTTGGAACTATGTGGACGTTTCCATTTGTGTTCTACTCCTCTCGGCCTGTGGACTGAGACTATGGAGCATTTCGGCTGTGTCTCACTTACTCTTGGTAGATGAGCTAGATGTTGATGTACTGGCTGGAGATTTTAAGAGAAACACCTTGAGTGCAGTGTATATCTACAGTGGGTAGTATATATTTAGCTAGTTGGAATCGCTGTGGTATTTTCTAACAGTTAATCGATAAATCAGGATACATTGCAGTATCATTAATTGTTGAATTAGAATATTGTTCTGAATTGTCTAGGATCTAGTTTAGGTGAGCTGAGTTTAAGTGAACTGAGTTATAATCTTGTTATCTCAGGTATAACCCAAGTGTTAGTGTTTTTTCCGTCTAATGAACTTTTTGGACGTTTTAAACGTGATAGGACCTCTACAACTCGCTGTAAAGAAGATGCTGAATGATGTTGCCAAGCTTCTCGTACTTCTAATCATAATATTATTAGGTAAACAATAGCGTAGATTATATAGGAATCTGTTTTAGAAACTTCAATGATCAATAGTGTCATTTAGATTGACCAACATTGAGATTCGTGAAACAACCTTTGATTCTTATAGTGGTCAAAATCTTACAGGGTTTTGTCTTGGGGGCGATACATAGGGGGGGGGGGGGGGGGGGGGGGGGGGGGGGGGGGGGGGGGGGGGGGGGGGGGGGGGGGGGGGGGGGGGGGGGGGGGGGGGGGGGGGGGGGGGGGGGGGGGGGGGGGGGGGGGGGGGGGGGGGGGGGGGGGGGGGGGGGGGGGGGGGGGGGGGGGGGGGGGGGGGGGGGGGGGGGGGGGGGGGGGGGGGGGGGGGGGGGGGGGGGGGGGGGGGGGGGGGGGGGGGGGGGGGGGGGGGGGGGGGGGGGGGGGGGGGGGGGGGGGGGGGGGGGGGGGGCTAGGCTAAATTTGATAGCAGACGTATTCAGATGGACCAAGATGCAGAGATGACTGAGTTTGAGGAATTCAGTACATTTATGAGTACTTTGATAAATTTGACCTGGTCTCTCTTTGACATTTTTGGCTACGATGTAAGTTTCCAAGGAAGCTATGTGAATCCATTCGTACTCAGCAGTATTATGATTTTTGAGTGGTAAGACTTCAATTTCCATAAAAAAGTTTAGCTGCGATGCTAATTTCACAAAATACCCCATTAGAGCATTAGGCACTTTCAACAAAGCACAAATTGACATTTGCCATAATCCTGTTACTCGTTCTGGTGTACTCGGTTATTGGAGCTATCATTATTCTCAATACTCTCATTGCAATGCTTAACAATACGTAGGTGAAACTGATAAATATTTAATTGAACGAATATTATACTATCTATATCTCTGATAACTTAAATATTCTGTCATTACCCCTACACTATTTTACCAGACATATCCAAATAGACGCCGGATAGTATAATCCAGAATACATATCTCCCGTTCAGGTAACGTTGAGATACAGACTAACGCTGACACTGAATGGAAGTTTTCCAGATGCAAACTCTTTTCGGTAAGTCATATTCCTTGGCAAAATATCTTCCAGATTTGATGAACCAAAATAGTCGTCATACTCTGGCAAGCTGAAGCATGACCGCGTTGTTATAACAATGCTGTCGTGAAATTTTAGCTTACCCAAGGCTTTTAGAAACGACCATTACTTGACTTCTAAGGGTCAGTTTCCTATGAGTCTTAGATCATTCGAAGATAATCCTTTATACTACAGTTCAGTTAAAAACGAATCCAAAGAATTTAAATTTCCGTTGATAATCCAGACGAAAGAGAAAAATTATGATTATTGGACTTGAAGCCTTCGGGCTGCTTCCCCTGAATTCCGGGATGAGGTCCGCCCGACTATATTTTATTGGTCATTTTTTAGAGGAGAAAGAGAGCTTTTGTATAAATCTATAGTTTTCGATATTTTCGCTATCTCCTGAAGAGCTGTGCACTTTAGATCTACATAGTGTTACACAAAATAATTTCCGAAAAAATTCACACAAAAAAAAAAATAAAAATACACATAAAACCCTTACTCCTTCGTAAATCTAACCAGGGGGAGTATGTGAAATCGACCCTTTAAATAACGGCCTAAATTATGGGTTTTGAGGTACCATCAACACACAAAATTTTGAAATCCTGAAAAAGTTCAGAACGATTGTCTACAGACGCAGTGTTTTTGAATTTGTAAATTTTCGATATTCAGAAGTAAAGTTATGACCCGTCGAAAGAAAAATATAATTGATTTCATCATAAAATACACATAAAATTTCAAACACGCCAATAATGTCTGACACCCTGCTGTACTCACTTAATATTTACCCCCTAGACCTATTATATCGCCGCTTTGCTGTTTTTCAGGGCATTAAGACTCACCGGAAAGTAGTTCAGCAGGCATATTTTAAGTTCAAAACATTATAATTCAATGTCAAAGATCAACAGGAATATATAATAGTTATGTGGAGGGTTTTATGGTTTTAAGAAATTTGTCCAAAATACGCGCCAGCATGTTATACAAAATTAGGTAAAAAAGCCAAACTCGTCATATTCATTTGCCTTAAAAACCATGTTAGTTAAAATTGAGTTAGAGATCTGAAATTTTGCAGAGCGTCTAGATGTTTACCAAATCGACTGCACAAACTTTTTAAGTTTCAGGAGTATCGGGAAGTGGGGTTTCTGGGGAACCCCTGTTTTACAACAGATTGTCGTAAAGCTAAGTATATATACTATATAGTATATTATTTTTGATTTGTTTGGAGAGGCGAATCATACACAGTTTAGGCTCTTGAAATCTTCGAATTAAAAATCATCTGTGAGAGAACTCTCCTGAATAGAAATAAGTTAGGCTCAATTTAGGTAGAAACAAAACAGACTTAAAAACAAGAATCCCAAAAAAATGTTGGTATGTATGGAAAAAAAACTTTATTTTAATTTTAAATAAAAGTTAACGGGACAGACCAATCATAATAAAACATAAATACTGACGAGAAATTACTGAATGCAAATAAATTAGCACAACAAAAATAACTAAACTTATTCGATCTTATTAACTTTTATTCTATTAATCCCCAAAATAGTGTAGTTCACATATAGAAAGTAATCGATTGCTCTTTCTCTATCAAGTTCTATGGCTGGAGCATTTCTTGACAAATGCAACTTTAAAATTAATAAGACTCCCCTACACCGTACAATCATCTCCAGCACTCTGCAGCCCCTTTAACAGACTGAAATGACCGTATCAATATCGGATACTCACGAACCAGCTTTCTGATACGGAAATGGAATCAAGTCTCTAGTGGGCGTTCTGGGAGTGCTAGGGCCACCAAACTTTGTAGGAACACTATAAGGGTCAATACCAAACGATTCCGACCTGTTTTGGGGCAATCCGACGAGTTTTAGAAAAAATTTCACTTTTGTTCATTCCGTTCATTCCATGACTCAGGGAGCCTCTGGCGACAATTTTGACGTCAAAATAGTTAGTAAACACATCCCCCTACACCGTGAAACCATTTCCAGCACTCTGAGACTACTTTAACAGACTAAAATGACCGTATCAAAATGCCTCAAAAACCGTATCATCTGGTTCCACAATTTCCGATTTATCTTCTGTTTGCCGCGGACGCGATACCTGAAACCTAATCAAAGCTTACGGCGCGGCTGACATTATCATGCTTTCAGGCGCGCGACGTTTCAGGCGCGCGACGTTTCAGGCGCGCGACGTTTCAATACCACTCGTAGGTGGGCACACCAGTGTAATGGGTGCCACATGCCTAGCATGAAATATTTACCTACTTACTTGCACTTGTGTAGGTCTGTAGAAGCATTAGAATCGGGCGTTGCCTGCCACAGGCTATCCCGAATTTAGAAGCTTGCTTTCATCTTCATCATGTTACCTGGGGACCCGACTAGAGATTCAGCGGAATGACAGGCTGAGCGCTGCCCAGTAATTTTTATGCTGTTGTTGTTGCTGTATCTATAGTTTAGCCCAATACCATCTAATTCTATGTATGAATATCTACTCATACATGGTCGATTATAATTATATCTATTTACTGTTCATGTTGGGTCTCAAAACGTTGTTCAATTTTTAATTCCATTCTAAAAAACTTAATCTTCCAGGAGTACAGGAATGGAATACCTTGGCTCTTTCCATTTAATATTATAATGGCTCCTGCTCATACCTTGTATCATTTGTCCAAGGGCTATACGAATCGTTAGTATAATTTTTTCCAAAATGTTCGTTTTATTAAAACTTAAAAATACAATTCTTGATTCTTAATACAATGATATAACCCGGCCCCTGTTATCAAAATGAATGACACATGAAAAGATCTTATAACTACAATTAGTCTCAATATCATATCATTATCATCATTATAATAAGATTTGTTAACTCATAGTTATTGCGTTTAGGGAGGAAAACAAAGGTGAAAGAACAATTGGATTACGATTTATGTTTAGAAAATAATAAAGACCTTGAAGAACATTTTGATCCGGTGAGAATTGATCCTTATGTTCAACATTATACTTATGGATTACGCGAGGCATTTATAATTTTTATTTGCTGATCCCATAACTAACTGGTTTATCATTTTACGATTAAAGGCCAATGGCAATATCTAATTGAAGGGTGGAGTTCTCTCCGATATAATTATATTAAGTGCACATGTTCAAAATCGACGTTCATACAACTATTTCTCTCGCATCTTGATATAATTATACTTTGTGATGGAACTGACAGTTTTAACTGCAATTTTTTTGACATATATAACTTATATTAATGTTTGTGACCATTTAGAAAATTTTCTTTCGCGTTTCTCTCAGTGGCTAATTTTTGTTAAACTTTGATGTCTGATCATAATCATATCAATTCAATCAGGAACACACAGAAACAGACGGTAAATCACAAGAACTTCCATCGAGTTTGGAAAATGAATCGGCACTACATGAACTCAAGATGAGATATCTTTTAATCAATCAGCTCGCCAAAAGAGTTGACCTATCTAAATTCTAAATTCTTGTACTTGTAGTTAATATAACTGCAACTGCAGGAGTATACGTTGCGACTTAAAAACTCTTCTAATACTAATTCTAATAGATCGTTCACATGTTACAAAAGCTATTTTAGAGTTAGGGGGAGGGGCCGGTCTGAAAAAGTTTACGTCAGTGTAATTTCTACGCGATAGATATACAAAATAGCTAATAGTAATAAAGTAATATCCTAATCACTAATATGTATAAATTGATATACATATTAGTGATTAGGATATTACATAGTCATACGTCATACATTATATGTGTGTAAATGGGTTTACAGAAAGTGGCCCTTTTAAAAAAATCTCGAAGATCGACTGTAAAGTGATTTAGCACGCTCGAATATTAATATATTACGTTTTCACTTTTTGGAGCATAAATGATAACGGGTGATACTTGTAATATATTTGTTTCAAGACCATCGAGTATCGACGAGTCCAACTCGGCGCACGTTTAGATTATAAACCTACAACATAAATGATGACGTATTTTTTAACATGTGAACACTGAACGACCCATATTCATAAATGATTGCAAAACAAATAAAATTAGTTTGTGTTTATTATCCAAGATCATTGAAACGAAAATTTAAATGCAAACTTTTGCAAACTTTTAACGAGCGATTTGTGTTAGTGACAGTGTTATACTTGTTATACATTTAATTTTGTTATATTTTATCTAATACGCGGCTTTTACAACTTTGAACTTAGAATACAGAATAGTACTAGTAGTAGTACGTCTACGATGTAAAATAAAAATTGGTGTACAGTACAAGGCAATTTAATATACCTTTCCGGAAACCGTGTTGATTCTTAGAGAATATGTGATTCGACTCCAATTGCTCTACCATGTTCTTTCTTAGTACTCTCTCAAACACTTTTATCATATGAGAAGTTAACGAGACAGGTCTAATTCTATCTATAATTTCCCGGGTCTGTTTTTCCTTTTTTAAACACTGGTGTGATATATTGTTCTTTATAGTCATAGACTGAAGGAACTTGACCATTTCTGAAGGAGTTCTCCCAAATGATCATCAGGGGCATGCACCAAAACAGTGGTTTGTGCCGTCCAACCCAAATGACCTCATAGGCAGTTCAGTGACCATCTACTTCTAGCGCACTGTTTCCACATTTAAAAAAATTATTTTGAGAATACCTATTTTTGTAATCGAGCATTTCCTGGTTAGAGTGGAATTTTCGGAAAAACGCAATTTGTTTCTGGTTACAGAGGCTATAGCCTATAAGTTAATCATTTCTTGCGGTATCGGGATGAAATTTTGTTCGCTGTTTATTCACATCTATTTCATTTTCAAGGCGTGTGTAAAATTTTGATATCGTATCTTAAAAGGCTGGTGTGTTATACATTTTAAAAGTCAAAAAGCAAAAATTGTCCTTTTCAGGCTTATTTTAACAAAAAGTCAGTCAGGGAAGATCGGATTGATTTGATGATTGACATCAAATTGTTCTCTGAATTCTGGCGCAGTTTTTGATGCCCTCAAAAATGTGTTTACTCATTCATCTTCAGATCTATTGGACCTCAAAGCCAAACAACAAATTTAGGCACATTTTTCGTTTTTAATATTTACTGATTTTTCTAAAATTTTGATACATGATAGGAATTTCATCATTACACAATAGCTGTAATGACTATGAGGTCCTCTTTACAGAAGTTGAATGATGTTAAGTTTTCTGAGGGTGATTTTATATTGCTGGTTGTGTCTTTTTTTCGTTGTCAGGGTCACTAAACATGCTGAAGAATATTGGTCTTGAAGGATTTCCGCCATTTTCTTATCATCATGTTGTCATGTAGTGTTCCTGTGGAGCTGCTAGTGCTCCTTAGCGGACCAATATTTGATTTCAGCGTAGAAAATCTTTTTGCATAGCTGAAGAAATATTTTGGGTTTTTCTTAACGCATTGTACAGCTTATTGCGCTCACTTCCATGAATCGGCATGCTTATATTTTGTCAAATTTCATAAGCCATCAGATTCACTTTTGTTCTAGGGTAGGTAAGGAGCTAGAGGGATTTAATCTCTTAAGAGTTAAGACATGTGATTCGTGCCTTAAGTTTTCTCTTTTTTCTGTATAATATTAATATCTTCTTTATGACTCATCGTTCTCTCGTGTCCAGACCATCGACGGCCTTACTGACTTTTTTAGGACACTTATTGGAGTTCTCCAAGGGGACACTCTAGCACCCTTTCTTTTCATCATCGTCCTTGACTATGTCCTCAGAAGCTGCATGGGTGAAGAATTCGGTCTTACCATCGTGCCTAGGAAAAGTCGAAGAGTGCCTGCGGTCAAAATCACAGACCTTGACTTTGCTGATGATTTGGCCTTAATGTCAGACACCATAGAGCAAGTCCAACTTCTGCTGACAGACCTTGAAAATGCAGCCGCACAAGTTGGTCTTGCTATGAATGCTTCTAAGACCGAGTTCATGACCATCAACATCCCTGACACTGTCGACTTACATTCCATCTCAGGCCGCCAGATTAAACAGGTTGATGACTTTAAATACCTCGGCTCTTTCATTGCGGACAGTAGAAAGGATTTCAACACAAGGAAAGGAATGGCCTGGTCAGCCTGTATTAAACTGCAAAAAGTCTGGTCCTCTGGCATTTCCGAACAACTGAAAGTCAAGTTCTTTAGAGCCTGTGTCGAACCAGTATTGCTCTATGGATCAGAGACATGGACCATAAACAAGCAGCTTGAGAAGCGCCTCAACGGATGCTACACCCGTCTTTTAATGAAGGCCAAGAACATCTCGTGGAAGAAACATCCAACCCTCAAGCAGATCTATGGCAACCTTCCATCTATTGCCTCAGTGGTTGCGTCGAGGCGTTCCAGATTCGCTGGGCATTGCATGAGAGCTTCTGACCAAGTTATCTCCACTATCCTCCCCTGGCGACTTGCCCAATCCGGCCGTGGAAGGAGACCACTCACCTTCCTGGACGTAGTAGCTCGTGACACTGGGCTCCAGTTAGACGACCTTCGAACTGTTATGTGCGATCGAGACGTGTGGAGGCAGACAGTGAATGGGATTTCGATTGAGGATCGCCCAAAGTAAAAAAGTAAGTATTAATATCTATGAGTTTTCTGTTCATCATCATGGCATCAAGATCTGCTTTGTGGAGGTTGAGGCTAAAGTATGTGAAATTCTCTGCTTCTTTCACATTGTGATAGTAGTTTTCATTTCTGGATTAAGTTGATCTTTTTAGGCACATTTCTCGTTTTTCATATTTAAAGATTTTTCTAAAATTTCGATAGGAATGTGCTAGTGCTACATGCTAGAGACTTTTGGAAGACTGCAAAATAACCGCAATTACTAGCACATTTATATATGATTATGAGTTATATATGAATAGTAAAACACCCTAAAATGCTTCCTTTTGAAGTTATGGTAGAAAATGTGACTTTTTATCTGCAAAGCCAATTAATGGTGTATGCCCTCTTGGCCGTCCGCCGTAAAAATGCTGCGATTTCGAATCACTCCACAGTATCGGTAACGTCGTCAGTTCTTCTCCCCCGAAGTAATGAACCCGATGTTCCTCAAAACTATTGCTAATTTCTGCACCCGAGTTGATCCATATTTAGAAATGGTAAGAGTAAGACTAAGAGGCCCCCTCCCCCCCGCCTTTTTTGTATCCATCTACATCGCGCGCATGGACTTTCTGTCAAGGTCAATTTATCAAAATTTACTTTGATCTTATAGAATAAGTCTGTCTGTTCGCGCCGGCCGTTTGGTGAACTTTGTGACATGACGTCATCAAGGGGCTCAATGCTCAGACCTCAGACAGACAACTTGCAGCTTTAGATTGGAAATGCCTTTGTCTGGTTGAATACTTTCTAAGACTACCAATTAATAGAAACGTACCAGGAGGCAGGGAATAATCACTTCTCCCAGTTAAGCAGATAAATGACTCAATTATTTATTAAGAGCTCCTTTTGACTTGGTTAGAACTTTACATGGGAGCCCCGGTTATATAAGGAGAGTCCGTCTCGGAAGGTTCTGAGCCCACTATTGAGCGTTTGAAAACTTTGAGTTTTATGGAATTAATGATTTTCTTGATTAACACTTCAGTCGTCTTTGTATTGCGAATTTAGCTAAGAGTCAAGACTTTCAATTTTGGTGAGTTGACACAAATTAATACAACTTTATAGAACAAAAATGTAGAACGAGAAATATAAACAATGAACAAAAACCTATTCTAAAACGTGATCAGAAAACAATGGAATGAAGCATTTTACACTACACTGATTATTTAACACGTGGGAGAATCTTTTAGTGAACAAATTAATTTTTAATGACTTAGTTCTTAAGTCCATATTGATGGTGCGATAAGCTTTCAACGTCTTTATCCAAGCTTGATTTTTCAAACAAAATGAATTAATTCATATATTTTTTAGAAATTAAATGATGATATTGCAATCTCACACAAAACCAAAGAAAAACGATCAAGTTCTTTTTCTATAGCACAAAGCAATCTATGATGAATCTTTCAAATCTGCATTTTGACAGCGAAATATCATTAACTTAAAAGCATAACATGTCTCTAAAATCCACAAAAAAGTATTATCTTACTCGTATGATTTTCATGGAACGGAAAATATTGACAATATGTTTATCAATCCTGGACATAATTATCAAAGTTATCTCAAACAAAAGATGTAAAATCATTTCTTACCAGCAGAAAATCTTAGATTAATCGCAAAATAGTTTTCAAACGCACAGCCTCATAAAAGCCGCAGCCAAAACCACAGCTAACGAATATGTCCACACTCCACATCAGTTTCATCAGCTCCCCCCACACAGTCATCGTAACCATTGCACACGTGAGCTCGTCTGATGCACCACTCTCCTTGTCCGGGGCACTTGTAGTAGTCTGAATCACATAATGATAAATCAATTTTAATCAAATCTTTTAGCTTGTAAGCGGTCTCAACTTGGATGAAAGAAGAATAAAATTTGATACGTCTTGATTATCAATATAATATATTATATATGTATTTCGGAGAATCATAAAATAGAATCTATTTATGAATCTAACTATCTAATCCCCTCGCATGATTTGTGTAAATTTGTTGAAAATTGAAAAAAAATTACAAAAATATAAAAGATAAATAAATAAGAAAAGTGACCTGAACCCGACAATATTTGCCAGTGTTGCATCTTTATAAACTCGGCCTGATAGTTGAGGCCATTATTGAACCAGGAGTACACTTGTGGTTCCGTTGTAGCTATCAGCCAGGAGTACACTTGTGGTTCCGTTGTAGCTATCAGGAGTACACTTGTGGTTCCGTTGTAGCTATCAGGAGTACACTTGTGGTTCCGTTGTAGCTATCAGGAGTACACTTGTGGTTCCGTTGTAGCTATCAGGAGTACACTTGTGGTTCCGTTGTAGCTATCAGCTTCACCCAGGTTCTATTCTGAATGGTCAATCGTCAGATGGCTCTAAAATTGTAAATATTGGACAGAAAATTACATACACTTCCGTGTTCATGATTTTAAACGTTGCGCTTCTAGCTGATCTGCAGTAGTAAAATTGCATCTTTGAAATAAAATTGAATAACTTAGGTGAGAATACAAATAAACCCCTCAACATGCCTCTGTAAACATGGGGCCCATTAGATTTATAACCAATAACAATTAACAATGATACAATATCTGTATTTTTCAATAAACTGAGCTATCTCTAAGGCTGGTTCCTATATCTCCTCCCCTTCCCTACGTCTGCATACCTATGTTATTTCTCGCCCTCTCTAACTCCATACTTCTGTATATCTTTAGTTTATATCTCTTTCTCTTTCTCGCCCTCTCTAACTCCATACTTCTGTATATCTTTAGTTTATATCCCTTTCTCTTTCTCGCCCTCTCTAACTCCATACTTCTGTATATCTTTAGTTTATATCTCTTTCTCTAACTCCATACTTCTGTAATTCTTTAGTTTATATCTCTTTCTCTTTCTCGCCCTCTCTAACTCCATACTTCTGTATATCTTTAGTTTATATCTCTTTCTCTTTCTCGCCCTCTCTAACTCCATACTTCTGTATATCTTTAGTTTATATCTCTTTCTCTTTCTCGCCCTCTCTAACTCCATACTTCTGTATATCTTTAGTTTATATCCCTTTCTCTTTCTACCCTCTCTAACTCCATACTTCTGTATATCTTTAGTTTATATCTCTTTCTCTTTCTACCCTCTCTAACTCCATACTTCTGTATATCTTTAGTTTATATCCCTTTCTCTTTCTACCCTCTCTAACTCCATACTTCTGTATATCTTTAGTTTATATCTCTTTCTCTTTCTCGCCCTCTCTAACTCCATACTTCTGTATATCTTTAGTTTATATCTCTTTCTCTTTCTCGCCCTCTCTAACTCCATACTTCTGTATATCTTTAGTTTATATCCCTTTCTCTTTCTCGCCCTCTCTAACTCCATACTTCTGTATATCTTTAGTTTATATCTCTTTCTCTTTCTCGCCCTCTCTAACTCCATACTTCTGTATATCTTTAGTTTATATCTCTTTCTCTTTCTCGCCCTCTCTAACTCCATACTTCTGTATATCTTTAGTTTATATCCCTTTCTCTAACTCCATACTTCTGTATATCTTTAGTTTATATCTCTTTCTCTTTCTCGCCCTCTCTAACTCCATACTTCTGTATATCTTTAGTTTATACCCCTTTCTCTTTCTCGCCCTCTCTAACTCCATACTTCTGTATATCTTTAGTTTATATCTCTTTCTCTTTCTCGCCCTCTCTAACTCCATACTTCTGTATATCTTTAGTTTATATCTCTTTCTCTTTCTACCCTCTCTAACTCCATACTTCTGTATATCTTTAGTTTATATCTCTTTCTCTTTCTCGCCCTCTCCAACTCCATACTTCTGTATATCTTTAGTTTATATCTCTTTCTCTTTCTCGCCCTCTCTAACTCCATACTTCTGTATATCTTTAGTTTATATCCCTTTCTCTTTCTACCCTCTCTAACTCCATACTTCTGTATATCTTTAGTTTATATCTCTTTCTCTTTCTCGCCCTCTCTAACTCCATACTTCTGTATATCTTTAGTTTATATCTCTTTCTCTTTCTCGCCCTCTCTAACTCCATACTTCTGTATATCTTTAGTTTATATCTCTTTCTCTTTCTCGCCCTCTCTAACTCCATACTTCTGTATATCTTTAGTTTATATCCCTTTCTCTTTCTCGCCCTCTCTAACTCCATACTTCTGTATATCTTTAGTTTATATCTCTTTCTCTTTCTCGCCCTCTCTAACTCCATACTTCTGTATATCTTTAGTTTATATCTCTTTCTCTTTCTCGCCCTCTCTAACTCCATACTTCTGTATATCTTTAGTTTATATCCCTTTCTCTTTCTCGCCCTCTCTAACTCCATACTTCTGTATATCTTTAGTTTATATCTCTTTCTCTTTCTCGCCCTCTCTAACTCCATACTTCTGTATATCTTTAGTTTATATCTCTTTCTCTTTCTCGCCCTCTCTAACTCCATACTTCTGTATATCTTTAGTTTATATCCCTTTCTCTTTCTCGCCCTCTCTAACTCCATACTTCTGTATATCTTTAGTTTATATCCCTTTCTCTTTCTCGCCCTCTCTAACTCCATACTTCTGTATATCTTTAGTTTATATCCCTTTCTCTTTCTCGCCCTCTCTAACTCCATACTTCTGTATATCTTTAGTTTATATCCCTTTCTCTTTCTCGCCCTCTCTAACTCCATACTTCTGTATATCTTTAGTTTATATCTCTTTCTCTTTCTCGCCCTCTCTAACTCCATACTTCTGTATATCTTTAGTTTATATCCCTTTCTCTTTCTCGCCCTCTCTAACTCCATACTTCTGTATATCTTTAGTTTATATCTCTTTCTCTTTCTCGCCCTCTCTAACTCCATACTTCTGTATATCTTTAGTTTATATCCCTTTCTCTTTCTCGCCCTCTCTAACTCCATACTTCTGTATATCTTTAGTTTATATCCCTTTCTCTTTCTCGCCCTCTCTAACTCCATACTTCTGTATATCTTTAGTTTATATCTCTTTCTCTTTCTCGCCCTCTCTAACTCCATACTTCTGTATATCTTTAGTTTATATCTCTTTCTCTTTCTCGCCCTCTCTAACTCCATACTTCTGTATATCTTTAGTTTATATCCCTTTCTCTTTCTCGCCCTCTCTAACTCCATACTTCTGTATATCTTTAGTTTATATCTCTTTCTCTTTCTCGCCCTCTCTAACTCCATACTTCTGTATATCTTTAGTTTATATCTCTTTCTCTTTCTCGCCCTCTCTAACTCCATACTTCTGTATATCTTTAGTTTATATCTCTTTCTCTTTCTCGCCCTCTCTAACTCCATACTTCTGTATATCTTTAGTTTATATCCCTTTCTCTTTCTCGCCCTCTCTAACTCCATACTTCTGTATATCTTTAGTTTATATCCCTTTCTCTTTCTCGCCCTCTCTAACTCCATACTTCTGTATATCTTTAGTTTATATCTCTTTCTCTTTCTCGCCCTCTCTAACTCCATACTTCTGTATATCTTTAGTTTATATCCCTTTCTCTTTCTCGCCCTCTCTAACTCCATACTTCTGTATATCTTTAGTTTATATCTCTTTCTCTTTCTCGCCCTCTCTAACTCCATACTTCTGTATATCTTTAGTTTATATCCCTTTCTCTTTCTCGCCCTCTCTAACTCCATACTTCTGTATATCTTTAGTTTATATCTCTTTCTCTTTCTCGCCCTCTCTAACTCCATACTTCTGTATATCTTTAGTTTATATCTCTTTCTCTTTCTCGCCCTCTCTAACTCCATACTTCTGTATATCTTTAGTTTATATCTCTTTCTCTTTCTCGCCCTCTCTAACTCCATACTTCTGTATATCTTTAGTTTATATCCTCTTTCTCCCTCTAACTCCATACTTCTGTATATCTTTAGTTTATATCTCTTTCTCTTTCTCGCCCTCTCTAACTCCATACTTCTGTATATCTTTAGTTTATATCTCTTTCTCTTTCTCGCCCTCTCTAACTCCATACTTCTGTATATCTTTAGTTTATATCTCTTTCTCTTTCTCGCCCTCTCTAACTCCATACTTCTGTATATCTTTAGTTTATATCTCTTTCTCTTTCTCGCCCTCTCTAACTCCATACTTCTGTATATCTTTAGTTTATATCTCTTTCTCTTTCTCGCCCTCTCTAACTCCATACTTCTGTATATCTTTAGTTTATATCCCTTTCTCTTTCTCGCCCTCTCTAACTCCATACTTCTGTATATCTTTAGTTTATATCTCTTTCTCTTTCTCGCCCTCTCTAACTCCATACTTCTGTATATCTTTAGTTTATATCCCTTTCTCTTTCTCGCCCTCTCTAACTCCATACTTCTGTATATCTTTAGTTTATATCCCTTTCTCTTTCTCGCCCTCTCTAACTCCATACTTCTGTATATCTTTAGTTTATATCTCTTTCTCTTTCTCGCCCTCTCTAACTCCATACTTCTGTATATCTTTAGTTTATATCCCTTTCTCTTTCTCGCCCTCTCTAACTCCATACTTCTGTATATCTTTAGTTTATATCTCTTTCTCTTTCTCGCCCTCTCTAACTCCATACTTCTGTATATCTTTAGTTTATACCCCTTTCTCTTTCTCGCCCTCTCTAACTCCATACTTCTGTATATCTTTAGTTTATATCCCTTTCTCTAACTCCATACTTCTGTATATCTTTAGTTTATATCCCTTTCTCTTTCTCGCCCTCTCTAACTCCATACTTCTGTATATCTTTAGTTTATATCTCTTTCTCTTTCTCGCCCTCTCTAACTCCATACTTCTGTATATCTTTAGTTTATATCCCTTTCTCTTTCTCGCCCTCTCTAACTCCATACTTCTGTATATCTTTAGTTTATATCCCTTTCTCTTTCTCGCCCTCTCTAACTCATACTTCTGTATATCTTTAGTTTATATCTCTTTCTCTTTCTCGCCCTCTCTAACTCCATACTTCTGTATATCTTTAGTTTATATCCCTTTCTCTTTCTCGCCCTCTCTAACTCCATACTTCTGTATATCTTTAGTTTATATCCCTTTCTCTTTCCCGCCCTCTCTAACTCCATACTTCTGTATATCTTTAGTTTATATCCCTTTCTCTTTCTCGCCCTATCTAACTCCATACTTCTGTATATCTTTAGTTTATATCTCTTTCTCTTTCTCGCCCTCTCTAACTCCATACTTCTGTATATCTTTAGTTTATATCCCTTTCTCTTTCTCGCCCTCTCTAACTCCATACTTCTGTATATCTTTAGTTTATATCCCTTTCTCTAACTCCATACTTCTGTATATCTTTAGTTTATATCTCTTTCTCTTTCTACCCTCTCTAACTCCATACTTCTGTATATCTTTAGTTTATATCCCTTTCTCTAACTCCATACTTCTGTATATCTTTAGTTTATATCCTTTCTCTTTCTCGCCCTCTCTAACTCCATACTTCTGTATATCTTTAGTTTATATCTCTTTCTCTTTCTCGCCCTCTCTAACTCCATACTTCTGTATATCTTTAGTTTATATCCCTTTCTCTTTCTCGCCCTCTCTAACTCCATACTTCTGTATATCTTTAGTTTATATCCCTTTCTCTTTCTCGCCCTCTCTAACTCCATACTTCTGTATATCTTTAGTTTATATCTCTTTCTCTTTCTCGCCCTCTCTAACTCCATACTTCTGTATATCTTTAGTTTATATCCCTTTCTCTTTCTCGCCCTCTCTAACTCCATACTTCTGTATATCTTTAGTTTATATCCCTTTCTCTTTCTCGCCCTCTCTAACTCCATACTTCTGTATATCTTTAGTTTATATCTCTTTCTCTTTCTCGCCCTCTCTAACTCCATACTTCTGTATATCTTTAGTTTATATCCCTTTCTCTTTCTCGCCCTCTCTAACTCCATACTTCTGTATATCTTTAGTTTATATCTCTTTCTCTTTCTCGCCCTCTCTAACTCCATACTTCTGTATATCTTTAGTTTATATCTCTTTCTCTTTCTCGCCCTCTCTAACTCCATACTTCTGTATATCTTTAGTTTATATCCCTTTCTCTTTCCCGCCCTCTCTAACTCCATACTTCTGTATATCTTTAGTTTATATCCCTTTCTCTAACTCCATACTTCTGTATATCTTTAGTTTATATCCCTTTCTCTTTCTCGCCCTCTCTAACTCCATACTTCTGTATATCTTTAGTTTATATCCCTTTCTCTTTCTCGCCCTCTCTAACTCCATACTTCTGTATATCTTTAGTTTATATCTCTTTCTCTTTCTCGCCCTCTCTAACTCCATACTTCTGTATATCTTTAGTTTATATCTCTTTCTCTTTCTCGCCCTCTCTAACTCCATACTTCTGTATATCTTTAGTTTATATCCCTTTCTCTTTCTCGCCCTCTCTAACTCCATACTTCTGTATATCTTTAGTTTATATCCCTTTCTCTAACTCCATACTTCTGTATATCTTTAGTTTATATCTCTTTCTCTTTCTACCCTCTCTAACTCCATACTTCTGTATATCTTTAGTTTATATCCCTTTCTCTAACTCCATACTTCTGTATATCTTTAGTTTATATCCTTTTCTCTTTCTCGCCCTCTCTAACTCCATACTTCTGTATATCTTTAGTTTATATCTCTTTCTCTTTCTCGCCCTCTCTAACTCCATACTTCTGTATATCTTTAGTTTATACCCCTTTCTCTTTCTCGCCCTCTCTAACTCCATACTTCTGTATATCTTTAGTTTATATCCCTTTCTCTTTCTCGCCCTCTCTAACTCCATACTTCTGTATATCTTTAGTTTATATCTCTTTCTCTTTCTCGCCCTCTCTAACTCCATACTTCTGTATATCTTTAGTTTATATCCCTTTCTCTTTCTCGCCCTCTCTAACTCCATACTTCTGTATATCTTTAGTTTATATCCCTTTCTCTGTCTCGCCCTCTCTAACTACATACTTCTGTATATCTTTAGTTTATATCCCTTTCTCTTTCTCGCCCTCTCTAACTCCATACTTCTGTATATCTTTAGTTTATATCTCTTTCTCTTTCTCGCCCTCTCTAACTCCATACTTCTGTATATCTTTAGTTTATATCCCTTTCTCTTTCTCGCCCTCTCTAACTCCATACTTCTGTATATCTTTAGTTTATATCCCTTTCTCTTTCTCGCCCTCTCTAACTCCATACTTCTGTATATCTTTAGTTTATATCTCTTTCTCTTTCTCGCCCTCTCTAACTCCATACTTCTGTATATCTTTAGTTTATATCCCTTTCTCTTTCTCGCCCTCTCTAACTCCATACTTCTGTATATCTTTAGTTTATATCTCTTTCTCTTTCTCGCCCTCTCTAACTCCATACTTCTGTATATCTTTAGTTTATATCTCTTTCTCTTTCTCGCCCTCTCTAACTCCATACTTCTGTATATCTTTAGTTTATATCCCTTTCTCTTTCCCGCCCTCTCTAACTCCATACTTCTGTATATCTTTAGTTTATATCCCTTTCTCTAACTCCATACTTCTGTATATCTTTAGTTTATATCCCTTTCTCTTTCTCGCCCTCTCTAACTCCATACTTCTGTATATCTTTAGTTTATATCCCTTTCTCTTTCTCGCCCTTTCTAACTCCATACTTCTGTATATCTTTAGTTTATATCTCTTTCTCTTTCTCGCCCTCTCTAACTCCATACTTCTGTATATCTTTAGTTTATATCTCTTTCTCTTTCTCGCCCTCTCTAACTCCATACTTCTGTATATCTTTAGTTTATATCCCTTTCTCTTTCCCGCCCTCTCTAACTCCATACTTCTGTATATCTTTAGTTTATATCCCTTTCTCTAACTCCATACTTCTGTATATCTTTAGTTTATACCCCTTTCTCTTTCTCGCCCTCTCTAACTCCATACTTCTGTATATCTTTAGTTTATATCCCTTTCTCTTTCCCGCCCTCTCTAACTCCATACTTCTGTATATCTTTAGTTTATATCTCTTTCTCTTTCTACCCTCTCTAACTCCATACTTCTGTATATCTTTAGTTTATATCCCTTTCTCTTTCTCGCCCTCTCTAACTCCATACTTCTGTATATCTTTAGTTTATATCTCTTTCTCTTTCTCGCCCTCTCTAACTCCATACTTCTGTATATCTTTAGTTTATATCCCTTTCTCTTTCTCGCCCTCTCTAACTCCATACTTCTGTATATCTTTAGTTTATATCCCTTTCTCTTTCCCGCCCTCTCTAACTCCATACTTCTGTATATCTTTAGTTTATATCCCTTTCTCTAACTCCATACTTCTGTATATCTTTAGTTTATATCCCTTTCTCTTTCTCGCCCTCTCTAACTCCATACTTCTGTATATCTTTAGTTTATATCCCTTTCTCTTTCTCGCCCTCTCTAACTCCATACTTCTGTATATCTTTAGTTTATATCCCTTTCTCTTTCCCGCCCTCTCTAACTCCATACTTCTGTATATCTTTAGTTTATATCCCTTTCTCTAACTCCATACTTCTGTATATCTTTAGTTTATATCCCTTTCTCTTTCTCGCCCTCTCTAACTCCATACTTCTGTATATCTTTAGTTTATATCCCTTTCTCTTTCTCGCCCTCTCTAACTCCATACTTCTGTATATCTTTAGTTTATATCTCTTTCTCTTTCTCGCCCTCTCTAACTCCATACTTCTGTATATCTTTAGTTTATATCCCTTTCTCTTTCTCGCCCTCTCTAACTCCATACTTCTGTATATCTTTAGTTTATATCCCTTTCTCTTTCCCGCCCTCTCTAACTCCATACTTCTGTATATCTTTAGTTTATATCCCTTTCTCTAACTCCATACTTCTGTATATCTTTAGTTTATATCCCTTTCTCTTTCTCGCCCTCTCTAACTCCATACTTCTGTATATCTTTAGTTTATATCCCTTTCTCTTTCTCGCCCTCTCTAACTCCATACTTCTGTATATCTTTAGTTTATATCTCTTTCTCTTTCTCGCCCTCTCTAACTCCATACTTCTGTATATCTTTAGTTTATATCTCTTTCTCTTTCTCGCCCTCTCTAACTCCATACTTCTGTATATCTTTAGTTTATATCCCTTTCTCTTTCCCGCCCTCTCTAACTCCATACTTCTGTATATCTTTAGTTTATATCCCTTTCTCTAACTCCATACTTCTGTATATCTTTAGTTTATATCTCTTTCTCTTTCTCGCCCTCTCTAACTCCATACTTCTGTATATCTTTAGTTTATATCCCTTTCTCTTTCTCGCCCTCTCTAACTCCATACTTCTGTATATCTTTAGTTTATATCCCTTTCTCTTTCCCGCCCTCTCTAACTCCATACTTCTGTATATCTTTAGTTTATATCCCTTTCTCTAACTCCATACTTCTGTATATCTTTAGTTTATATCCCTTTCTCTTTCTCGCCCTCTCTAACTCCATACTTCTGTATATCTTTAGTTTATATCCCTTTCTCTTTCCCGCCCTCTCTAACTCCATACTTCTGTATATCTTTAGTTTATATCCCTTTCTCTTTCCCGCCCTCTCTAACTCCATACTTCTGTATATCTTTAGTTTATATCCCTTTCTCTTTCTCTCTAACTCCATACTTCTGTATATCTTTAGTTTATATCCCTTTCTCTTTCTACCCTCTCTAACTCCATACTTCTGTATATAATCTTTAGTTTATATCCCTTTCTCTTTCTCGCCCTCTCTAACTCCATACTTCTGTATATCTTTAGTTTATATCCCTTTCTCTTTCTCGCCCTCTCTAACTCCATACTTCTGTATATCTTTAGTTTATATCTCTTTCTCTTTCTCGCCCTCTCTAACTCCATACTTCTGTATATCTTTAGTTTATATCCCTTTCTCTTTCCCGCCCTCTCTAACTCCATACTTCTGTATATCTTTAGTTTATACCCCTTTCTCTTTCTCGCCCTCTCTAACTCCATACTTCTGTATATCTTTAGTTTATATCTCTTTCTCTTTCTCGCCCTCTCTAACTCCATACTTCTGTATATCTTTAGTTTGTATCTCTTTCTCTTTCTCGCCCTCTCTAACTCCATACTTCTGTATATCTTTAGTTTATATCCCTTTCTCTTTCTCGCCCTCTCTAACTCCATACTTCTGTATATCTTTAGTTTATATCCCTTTCTCTTTCTCGCCCTCTCTAACTCCATACTTCTGTATATCTTTAGTTTATATCCCTTTCTCTTTCTCGCCCTCTCTAACTCCATACTTCTGTATATCTTTAGTTTATATCCCTTTCTCTTTCTCTTTAATATTGAAGCTACTCGATGAGTAGCGTATCAGATATTAAACTGATAAGAACAGATACTACACTTGATCTTAGCCAAAAGGCCGAGAAGCGATGTTTTTTGCTGTTTTTGCTGTATAGCATTTTAGTCACTCCGCAGTTTATTAACTGTGTCTCAACTCTGCTTTGTTGAATACTGCTGGGATAGGCCAGCTACCATGGGGTAAGACCCATATGATAAGACAGATAGTATGCCTGGTTTTGGTCTTTAGGTTGGGTAGTGGTCGGAGCCTGCAGCGGATCTGCAATAGAGAAGTCAGACGGGGTCATAAAAGTGGCTACCTCAGCCTACATCGGTACCACGCCTCCTGCTTCTCTAAGGCCCCGGGAGTCTTTATTTAGAGACGAGTTGCCCGGGTTAACAATAAAGGCTTTGTAGGCATCCCTCCACTTACCTGTACTCCGGAAAAGGACAAATTTAGGTAGTCGAGAGTCCTCGACGGTTGAAGCAGGAGAGGGACAGAGTTGTATCTGTGTATGTGGACGTCGGTTTGACACAGTCAAAGGCAGGAATATCCATCGGGGTCGAATGAAGTGCATTTGGGAAGGGGAGTCGTCGGCTGGCAGTATGCCTGTAACTTCGACGGAGGTATCTAGCCAGGAAAACAACCACAGTGCTAGAGATATCCGGGCTCTCCTTGACAAGAGAATTTCAGTCGAACCACCTGCTAGCAAAAGAGACAAGGTGAAGTGGCCGGCGTCCAATGATGGTCGATGGAGTAAGTTTGATGAGTGTGTGGTAGAGAAGTTTGCAGTGGTTCTCAAGCGGAAACCATTTCAAGAGAAGATGGTGAGTCATTGTGATGTAGTGTACGACGAGGGTGTCAAGTTGTTTGGTATTGTTGAAGTAGGTGCTGGTAGTGGAAAGAAGTCCATGAGCTTTAAGAACAGGCGAAAGGAGGAGATTGACAGCCTGATTGAAAAGAGGAAGCAGTTGAGGAGGAAGAAAAGGAAGGCAAGGAGTGAGATAGAGAAGGATGGTTATGAGGCATTATTGAGAGTGTTGGCTGGTCGTTTGATGAAGTTGAGGAGGGCTGAGAAAAGGAGACAGAAGCAGAGAGAGATAAGGAGAGTTAGAGGGGATTTTGGACGCGACCCTTTCAAGACAGTCAAGGGAGTGCTAAATCCAAGTCCAGTGGGGGAGCTTAAGTGTTCAAAGGAGGAGCTAGATGATCACTTGGCCAGAACGTACGGAGATCCAGCCCGACAGCAGCCCCTTGGTATACTTGAGGGTCTGCCTGAGTGTGCTCCTGAACCCTCTGTTGCCTTTGACCTCACAACGGTATCCAAGAAGGAGTTTGAGGAGGTTGTAAAGAAGGCAAGGAGCAAGAGTGCCCCGGGTAACAACGGGATCCCGTACACAGTGTACAAGAGATGTCCTGGTATTGCCAAGAATCTCTGGGACCTGTTAAGAACTGGATATAAGTTAGAAGAATATCCTGACAATTGTAGGTATTTCGAGGGTGTCTACATCCCAAAGGCGGATGGCGACTTTTCACCAAGTTCAGGACGGCCTATTTCCCTGGGTAACATTCAAGGGAAGATTTATTTGGCAATCCTGGCGAAGAGGTTGACCAGCTTTGTTGTCTCGAATGGATATGTAGACCTCTCTATACAGAAGGGTGGTGTGCCAGGCGTCCGTGGGTGCACGGAGCATTTTGGTGCCATGTGGGAGGTACTGAAGGAGGCAAAGGTCAAGAAGAAGGATCTGAGTGTGGTATGGCTTGACCTGGCTAACGCTTACGGAGCGGTACCCCATGTTCTGATTGCCAGGGCCCTCCGTTTCTACAACGTCCCCGAGAAGGTTATCAATATTATCCTACGGTACTTCTCCGGGGTATTTGGAAGGTTCTCCTCAAGAACGGTGACATCAGACTGGCAGCAGTTTGAGATAGGAATCTTCATGGGGTGTGTGATATCAGTCATCTTGTTTGTCTTGTGCATGAACCTTGGGCATGAACACCTAAAGTCTAAGGTTCCGAGAAGCATTGAGTACATCAAGGATGACACACCGATACCAACTCTGAAGCTGTTTATGGACGATAGCTGTCTGACGACCGCACGTGCAGAGGATATGCAAACGTTACTCAATGTGTTTCAGAAATACGTGGACTGGTCCAGATTTAAGTTAAAGTCCTCCAAGTCCAGAGCACTGGTGTTGAAGAAGGGAGTGGCTGTGAGGTGGGTTGAGGAGGTAGTGGTAGGAGAGGAGGAGGTGGAGAGAGAAGAGGTGTGTTTGCAGTTGGGTGGTGAGGTGATTCCGAATGTGTCAGAGAAGCCGATAAAATTCCTTGGGAGATGGATAAGAGTGGAAGGAAATGACAAATCAGTCATCGACTCAACCAAGGTCGACCTTAACACTTTTCTTCGGAGACTCGATGAAAGTTCCCTTACTGGACTCCAGAAGTGCTGGGGATATCAGTACATGGTCCTTCCAAAACTGAAGTGGCCTCTTGCCATCTATGATATTCCGATCACAACAGTTACCAGATGGGAACAGAATACCAATAGTTTCCTCAGGAAGTGGTTAGGGGTGGGGCACACTCTGAGTGGTCTTTGTCTGTTCAGTCAATCATCCAGTGTGGCCTTACCGGTGAGCAGTTTGACAGATACATGGAAGATAGAGAAGTGTCGACTGTTGCAATCCTATCAGACATCTAAGGATGACCTGATTAAAGCAGTCCAGCCCCAAGTTCGTTCTGGTAGAGTTTGGAGGCCTGAGACAGAACTGGAAGAGGCCAGAAGAGATTTGGTCTGTGAATCGGTGCGAGGGATGGTGCAACCTCTAAAAAGAGTTGGCATCGGTTTTGGTGACTGGAAAAAACCTTGGGAGAGGATGGATGAACGGGAAAGAGAGAGGGAGGTTATGCTGAGAGTGAAGGAGAACATTGAAAGAGAGAGGGAGGTGCAAGTAGGTTCTCTGGAGATGCAGAGCAGGTGGGGTGAGTGGAGAGAGCTCGTAATGAAGACGGATTTGAGCTGGCATACACTTTTTAAGTATGGTGACTCACTTATTGGGTTCATGCTAAGTGCTGTGTACGGCACCCTCTTAACCCCCTCTATGGTTTCCAAGTGGAGTGAAGATGAGGATGGGAAGTGCAAGTTATGTGAAGAGAGGATGGGCACCATTCAGCACATTTTGGCTGGGTGTAAGGTGGCCCTTAGTCAAGGAAGGTATAGATGGCGGCACGACAAGGTTCTGAAGCAGATCTCTGAACAGGTTGTCTTCCATTGTGATCGCCGAGTGAACACTTATAAGAACAAGGCCGGCGATGGAAGGCAGTTCATTGATTTTGTTCCTGCTGGGAAAAGAAAAGCAGGTACTGACGACCGGAAGGAGAGTCGTGGTTTTGGGATCCTGAGTGGGTATCGGGATTGGATAGTGCTGTCAGACCTTGAGGGGCAGCTTAAGTTTCCCAGTGAGATTGTGGAAACACGGTTGAGGCCGGACCTTGTGATATTCTCAAGGTCGGCAAAGACAGTTATTTGGTGGGAGCTAACAGTACCATCTGAAGAGCGGATCGCTGAATCGCACGAGTACAAGCTCGACCGATACAGCGGTCTGCAGGCTGAGATTCAGGCGGAAGGTTGGTGCTGTTATAATGCCGCAGTCGAAGTTGGAGCTAGGGGAGTGGTTGCGCAGAGTTTGGAGAGAGCTGCGAGGAGGATTGGTTTTAGGGGAAGAGAGCTGAAGAAGCTGGTACGGGACAGTGGGAAAGAGGCAGCCCACTGTTCCAGATGGATCTACTTGTTATCGAGAAAGAGGGAGTGGGAGTTCAGGAAGGTTGGAGCTTGAGAGTTCACTATAACATCTAGAGGTACCATAAACGTTATCTCGTCGCCAATTGCGAGCTCTAACGGGTCTCCTCAAGTGACTCTCGGATCAGATGGTGGTTCAAGGGTGGACTGCTGGGGCGCCTGACAGGAAACCGTATTGCGATTAAAGCCCCGAAACGGTGTCAGGTTGGTAACTGATGATTCTGATCCATGCTCCTGTGAGTTTGCTGTTGTATCTCAACTCGCTAAACTGAGGCATCTCCGCATCTTGGGTGAATATGCGTACATCTTCATACTAAACCCAGGTGTGGCATGTGTCAGTGAATACGGGCGAGCGGATGCAATAGCGAAGGTGGTGTGACAAGGCCTAAAAGACACAGTCAGATAGTTGTCAGCTCGCTGACTGTAAGGGAGAAGGTATATCCGTATTTCGCTGCTACTGATGCAGTCCTTGATCTGGCAATCAAGGCTTCTCTGTTTTTCGTCTAACTATGTACCGTTGGGCTTGTGGAACCCGTCAGGGGGACATACATAGGTTAGAATGGTTTTGTGCACCAAGAGGAGTGAGGGAATGAGGGTTGAAGAGAGAGAGCTAGAGAGTTGTTAGGGTGGTTAGGATCAGTAGGTGGAGTGTTTGGTCTGAGCGTTCTGTTTTTGCTGTATAGCATTTTAGTCACTCCGCAGTTTATTAACTGTGTCTCAACTCTCTTTCTCGCCCTCTCTAACTCCATACTTCTGTATATCTTTAGTTTATATCTCTTTCTCTTTCTCGCCCTCTCTAACTCCATACTTCTGTATATCTTTAGTTTATATCTCTTTCTCTTTCTCGCCCTCTCTAACTCCATACTTCTGTATATCTTTAGTTTATATCCCTTTCTCTTTCTCGCCCTCTCTAACTCCATACTTCTGTATATCTTTAGTTTATATCTCTTTCTCTTTCTCGCCCTCTCTAACTCCATACTTCTGTATATCTTTAGTTTATATCCCTTTCTCTTTCTCGCCCTCTCTAACTCCATACTTCTGTATATCTTTAGTTTATATCTCTTTCTCTTTCTCGCCCTCTCTAACTCCATACTTCTGTATATCTTTAGTTTATATCTCTTTCTCTTTCTCACCCTCTCTAACTCCATACTTCTGTATATCTTTAGTTTATATCTCTTTCTCTTTCTCGCCCTACTCTACTCTCTCTAACTCCATACTTCTGTATATCTTTAGTTTATATCTCTTTCTCTTTCTCGCCCTCTCTTTCTTTCTCTTTGTCTCTCTTACCTGATAACTGCTTTGTAGACGGAATGTTGATCTCATCTCTATCAATCAGCTCTCCTACCTGTAGGATATTAGTAATAATAATAGTAATATCATATTACTATAAGTACTAAAATAAATACCTCTATTCTAGTTACTTTCAGTACCTACTAAAGTATAAGAATCAATGAACTAGAAATCAGTGGCTACTAGAACTCTCTCTAACTACCAGCATTACTAGAATTCAGTGAATTCTAGTAATGCTTACACATATTATTCGTCCTATAACCACCATACTTTATGGAAAGTTTTAAGAAAATCGTACGGTAGGATCCGACATAAACTATTGTCCAAATAACCTATTTTCTGATTCGGACAGATGTCGCTGTCGGACAGATGTCGCCCAATCCCCTAACGCTTGGAAAGTAAAACAAATGACCAAAAATGCTAAATTTCGGACATGCAGTAAACTGTAACATTGGTCGTCAAAGTTACAAAATTCGAATATTACAAGATACTTGGGTGCAGCTGATGTTTAACGACGGTTAACTTTGCGAAATAGCTAAAACTATCGAACACTTAACATCATAATATCATAATTTATAAACTTATCCAACCTGATATGGAGCGATGATTGCATCAGCATCCTTTTCTTCTTTTTCTAACTGTGACATGTTATCATTAGCTGTCTTTGTTGGCAAGTTCCATGATTTAATCATCCGTGGGAGGATCTCTTTATCCGCACATAACAATGTAGCCAGTAACAATGTAGCCAGTGGGAGGATCTCTTTATCCGCACATAACAATGTATCCAGTGGGAGGATATCTTTATCCGCACATAACAATGTAGCCAGTAACAATGTAGCCAGTGGGAGGATCTCTTTATCCGCACATAACAATGTAGCCAGTGGGAGGATATCTTTATCCGCACATAACAATGTAGCCAGTAACAATGTAGCCAGTGGGAGGATCTCTTTATCCGCACATAACAATGTAGCCAGTGGGAGGATCTCTTTATCCGCACATAACAATGTAGCCAGTGGGAGGATATCTTTATCCGCACATAACAATAGATGTGGCAAGAGAATAAATCTCACCATTTGACCTAGCAAACACAAGTTCTTATTCGACAATGTAGATAACTGTAAGCTAGGCAATATAAAATTCGAAAATAGTTGATTAAGAAAATACGTCCGTACTCCGTATGAAATCAGAAAATAAAATTATGTAAGTCATACAACTATGTATCGTGAAATGAGTGATTAAATAATACGACAATTAAGTATATTTTGATTATGAAAATTCTTATAAGTTTATGATTAATACAGATACCAGAATTCAAAATAAATAATAAATAAGCTTATGTAAAAATAAAAATGATATTTAACAGAGAACTTGACTTATACGAAAAGTTCGCACTAAAAACCACTGAGTGCCAACGAAATTACCATGTATGTTTAGCATAAATAATATTAATAACATTACTACATGTACATTGTACTGAATAAATTTCCTCAAAGGTATACGCACATATGGAACAGCGATACAACACTAATCCCAGAAATAATTGATCCTATTCCCGTAGCGTGGGAATAAAAAACTTTCGTGTAATTACAATAGTAGCTCGAATTGTCCCTAAATCTATACTCGTCCTCTCCATATATGCAATCCTCGGCAAAATCACAGATCTGGGATTGCCTGATACACTTGCTCTCTCCGGGACACTTGTAATCATCTGGGTAGCACCCCACAGTGTACTTGTTTTGCTTTTCCGGTATAGTATCGTTGTAATTGCAATCTATTTCGTCTCTCATGTCCATGCAGTCCATTTCTTCGTCACACCTAAACGACTTGTGACCTGAAATTCAATTTCTTACTATGGCCGCTGTAATAAGTTGATGGTTTTCAAAGGTTACCGGATAATTTTATAAGACATAACAATAGGAATGCGTTTTTTTACAGGAGATTAAACTGTGAGAATTTTGAATACCGACCACAGTTTATCAATATTATGTTACCAGAACTTGCTCCTGTCGCATTTGTAAGGCTCACTAGTTATTTTATGCTGTTGATGCCGGAAACTTGCTGCGTTTACCCATTATAACTTTTGGTTTCAATTTCACAATATTTAAAATTTCTGGGTAAAGCTTTAAAACTATAAAAAAACATACCGTCACATGTCTCAGTTTCATAAACACGTTGTTTTTCGTCGAAAAGTCTATAATTAAACTTTATTTTGACATTGTTACCACGACCAGGGGTGAATGTTCCGTAGATGTTAATCTTTAAAGGAGCTGTTAGATTCCAACCGTTGTAATAATCTGAAATATGAAGTGTTGTCATGGTAACACTAATATAGTTACTACTATCTACAGTAAATATGAAGTGTTGTCATGGTAACACTACTAGTTACTACTAGTGTTGTCATGGTAACACTAATATGTTCTGAGTACTGAGTTACTACTATCTACAGTAAATATGAAGTGTTGTCATGGTAACAGGTACTACTATCTACAGTAAATATGAAGTGTTGTCATGGTAACACTAATATGTTCTGAGTACTGAGTTACTACTATCTACAGTAAATATGAAGTGTTGTCATGGTAACACTAATATGTTCTGAGTACTGAGTTACTACTATCTACAGTAAATATGAAGTGTTGTCATGGTAACACTAATATGTTCTGAGTACTGAGTTACTACTATCTACAGTAAATATGAAGTGTTGTCATGGTAACACTAATATGTTCTGAGTACTGAGTTACTACTATCTACAGTAAATATGAAGTGTTGTCATGGTAACACTACTAGTTACTACTAGTGTTGTCATGGTAACACTACTAGTTACTACTAGTGTTGTCATGGTAACACTACTAGTTACTACTAGTGTTGTCATGGTAACATAACAGAGTTACTACTATCTATAGTAAATATGAAGTGTTTTCATGGTAACAGGAGTACTGAGTTACTACTATCTACAGTAAATATGAAGTGTTGTCATGGTAACACTACTAGTTACTACTAGTGTTGTCATGGTAACACTACTAGTTACTACTAGTGTTGTCATGGTAACACTACTAGTTACTACTAGTGTTGTCATGGTAACACTACTAGTTACTACTAGTGTTGTCATGGTAACACTACTAGTTACTACTAGTGTTGTCATGGTAACACTACTAGTTACCATAGTTACTACTATCTACAGTAAATATTATATATAATCTGAAATATGAAGTGTTGTCATGGTAACACTACTAGTTACCATAGTTACACTACTAGTTAATATGAAGTGTTGTCATGGTAACACTACTAGTTACCATAGTTACACTACTAGTTACTACTATCTACAGTAAATATGAAGTGTTGTCATGGTAACACTAATATGTTCTGAGTACTGAGTTACTACTATCTACAGTAAATATGAAGTGTTGTCATGGTAACACTAATATGAAGTGTTGTCATGGTAACACTACTAGTTACCATAGTTACACTACTAGTAACACTAATATGTTACTACTATCTACAGTAAATATGAAGTGTTGTCATGGTAACACTACTAGTTACCATAGTTACACTACTAGTTACTACTATCTACAGTAAATATGAAGTGTTGTCATGGTAACACTAATATGTTCTGAGTACTGAGTTACTACTATCTACAGTAAATATGAAGTGTTGTCATGGTAACACTAATATGAAGTGTTGTCATGGTAACACTACTAGTTACCATAGTTACACTACTAGTAACACTAATATGTTACTACTATCTACAGTAAATATGAAGTGTTGTCATGGTAACACTACTAGTTACTGAGTACTACTAGTTACTACTATCTACAGTAAATATGAAGTGTTGTCATGGTAACACTAATACTGAGTACTGAGTTACTACTATCTACAGTAAATATGAAGTGTTGTCATGGTAACAGGAGTACTGAGTTACTACTATCTACAGTAAATATGAAGTGTTGTCATGGTAACACTAATATGTTACTAGTTACCATAGTTACACTACTAGTTACTACTATCTACAGTAAATATGAAGTGTTGTCATGGTAACACTAATATAGTTACTACTATCTACAGTAAATATGAAGTGTTGTCATGGTAACACTAATACTGAGTACCTACTATCTACTATCTACAGTAAATATGAAGTGTTGTCATGGTAACACTAATATGTTCTGAGTACTGAGTTACTACTGGTAACACTAATATTAGTTACTACTATCTACAGTAAATATGAAGTGTTGTCATGGTAACAGGTAACACTACTAGTTACCCCTAGTTACACTAATAGAGTTACTACTATCTACAGTAAATATGAAGTGTTGTCATGGTAACACTAATATGAAGTGTTGTCATGGTAACTAGTGGTAACTAGTGGTAACTAGTGGTAACAGGAGTACTGAGTTACTACTATCTACAGTAAATATGAAGTGTTGTCATGGTAACACTAATATGAAGTGTTGTCATGGTAACTAGTGGTAACTAGTGGTAACTAGTGGTAACAGGAGTACTGAGTTACTACTATCTACAGTAAATATGAAGTGTTGTCATGGTAACAGGAGTACTAGTTACTACTAGTGTTGTCATGGTAACACTACTAGTTACCATAGTTACACTACTAGTTACTACTATCTACAGTAAATATGAAGTGTTGTCATGGTAACAGTAACTAGTTACTACTATCTACAGTAAATATGAAGTGTTGTCATGGTAACACTACTAGTTACCATAGTTACACTACTAGTTACTACTATCTACAGTAAATATGTTGATAAGAAATCGAGGAAGTAAGAAAGAATACAATGAATCTGTAATAAATATAGACACAGCTGACAGCACACAAATGTATCTATCTCAGATAGACCTGCGTGAGCCTAGCGGGAGTCTACCTGTCTTTGTGTAGCTATTAATTTAATGGTTTGTTAGCGTTACTCAATGAAACAAGAAATTCAATGAAACAAGCAATTTAATTTTAGCACATTTTACAGAATAAAAACAATTCATATTAAAATATAATGCCCATTTGGTGTATGACTTTTGTCCTTGACTGCTAGTTTGGTTTTGGAAGGACAGGTAACTAACGGGGTAAGGAATGCGCGTGCATGAAAGCTTTTGCACACACCGAAACGCTAGTTCAGTTAGGTTTTTATGACAAGGCTCATATTAGGACTAGAAGAAATTTGTTAGTAGACATTAGGGGTTCTGTTTATAGTTGTTACTATAGATTGCAGTCTTGTTGTGACAAAAAGTCTACACTATAACATGCTTTAGTTTATATTGTGTAGTTCAAGGATATAAAATGCAGCTTCAAGGTGGATATTAGAGAGCTGGCGAAAGATTATGGCCTTTGTATCAATGGTTATAATATATATATTATATATATTATAGTTTGACGATAACATCGTTTACATTGTTACGCTTATATATATATACCACATCCCACAGACATCAGAGGACGTTAATCAAATGAATTCTTGACCAAGGTTGAAGACTTATAAATGGAAAACATGTCCAGAACAGTTGTAAATCTTACAGACAAAGATCTTAGTAAAGAGCAACTCTATGTCTTTTTCTTGTCTCACAAGTTTGTACCTACACCTCCCCTACCAGATCTAAGCCGTTTCGAAAACGATTTGTGTAGATGGTTTTCTAAAATAAGAGCTAAAGTTGTATTTGATAGCTTTAAATGTGGACCCAACAAAGCAGATAAGATCATAAGAGAGTTACTGACATGGAACGTTGTCTTATAAAGACTGATGCATCACGTACTTTCAAATCTTGTAAAAACCCTGCACTTGAGGCATTTATAAAATGCTGCAGAGCAGAAGTAGACCTCCACAGGCCGACTCAGAAATTCGTCTCAACAGATAACATCGCTGCCCCCATCAGAGCAGCTGAAAGACATTGTTATCAGACCATTCGACAAATGAGTAGAATTCTTCCTTCTTGATGAAGAAGATTATATTCAACAAATAGGTGTAAATTTAAATGATAGATCTGTATAATATATATATAATATATCCACGCAGCCTAGCGGGCGGAAATTTATATCGCCATAATATATGTCCACGAGGGCACACAGCCCGAGGACGACATATCCCTGCATAGCCCAGAGGGCCCGAGTGCTATACGGAATTCCACCCGCGAGGCAAGTAGGATATGTAGTATATCCACTAGCGGGCGCTTTACAGTTCCGAACAATCATAGCAAATAGAAGTAAAAGATTTCGAACTCAAGTTGCAAATTTACGAGAAAATCATGCTTTTGCCTTTAGTTTAAGATGCAGAACAGGGCAAAATTACTGATTACAGAACACAATAGAAGAATAGAGAACCGACGAAAAACCGGCCGTTATCAAAAAATTTGTCAGCTTATTGCTTCATGTAATTGTAAACGATCATAATGCAGGCCATCGCCATGAGTGTGAGTTCGTCAACTGTAAGCATCTATGACTAAAGTTACCAGGAGAGTTTGAGACGGAGAAAACGTGAGAACAGAACGTCAAATTCGCAAAAAACAACATTTAACTGGCGGTGTCAAAACAGGGCAAGTTTCTATTCGGTACACAATATATTTACAAATAAAAATCCGGCCTGAATATAAAAAAACAAAATTCAGCTTACTACACAGCTTACACCATCAAAAGGAGAAGACGTACTATAGTCTATAATGGTATTATACATCAACCGAATCGATGAACAGTCAACGGGATGTTAATCACTTAATCATTGATATAGATTAAAAACTGTGTATCTCCATCTCCATCAATCCATGCTACGAGTAACAAAGAATTCCTGTTACCATGACAACACTTCAGATGTACAGTGAGAGTTAAACTTAATCAGTGTACCGTGTGTAGGGCCGATCAAACAATTGGGTGCTCGCTATGACTTTATCAACAGAATAACTATAAATTGACTGTAAGGGTCTGCCCACACTACGTCTGTTGGCGACGGGCCACATGGCCCGATTCATGGCCCGCCACCTAAACACACTGTGCCACTTGGCGTGAGTAGTCACGCCATGTGGCCCGGGCCCGCCTATCTAAACACACTACTAAGTTTCATGTCATCTGCACACGAGCTGCATGAGCAGCCCTACCGGACACAAAAATAAAATATATGTCAGCGGGCTGTGAGAGCGGGCCGGGATATATCAGGTCTTCTAACTAGCAATATATAGCCCGCTGGGGGATATAGTATTATATCCACCAGCGGGCGCTTTACAGTCGCCACTAATTGTTGTAACCATGGTAACACGTCACGTGTTCAATGTAAGCCAATCATAAAGGGCTGTGTCGTATATATAGGGG